TATCGAATGAGTGGATTTGCTTATTTTTTGGCTGTGAATTTGTTTCTCTCAACGACAGCGTCGGAAATTCTAGTCGGTGTGATGCCGCAGGGCAAGAGTCATGCAGCATCCTTTATGCCATTACTTCAAAAACTCATTCAGCAAGGTTATCGGACAGATTCATTCAATTCACACCTTCTAATAATCACTCATTATGAGCGCATCAATGCCTCTTTGTTATCTTTCACTAAATATCTACACATTCATCAATGAAAGAATCTGAACAATTAAAGCATACATCTGCAGCTTTTGTATGACAGAGAGCTCACAGAAGTGATTTAGGTATGTTTGACCCGCTGCTGAAGCACTTTTCAGAATTTTGATTGTTTTCATTCAATTTATGATAATGCTCACTCCATAGTTTCAGGACACAACGTCACAATATATATGGAGAACTATGGAGTTGGTTCACTGAAGGGTCATGCGAATGAGTGGTTCATCAACGTTACAGGTTGATCTATGTCATTAGCAGTTGCTTAGTATCACCAATGCTCTGCAAGTTTCTCTCTTCCATTAAAGTAGCATTCTGTCCAAAACGGCCAGCTTTGAGAATTTTCGAGCTTTGCTCCCCAATCTCTAATTTGACTCCTCGCTAAGCTCACGCAATTCTGTGATTAATCCTGTTCAGTCTACTTCAATTTAGCTCTCGTCACGCATATATCAAGGGAAATAGTTGCGTACAATTACCGCCCCGTATTTCAGGTCACAAAGACCCGTTTGAAGACATGGAATTTGCTCGTGGAATATGGTACAACATGTATACGTTCATGTCGCATGTGAGCCTCGACCTTATTTAGCAATCAATTGAACGAATGAAAATCACAGTAGGGGAAGAGTACCGAACAGAAAATTGATTTAATATCTTATACAAAAGACGGAAACTGATTTCTTCTACTAAATCACAAAAGAATTCAAAAATGATCTAAACCAAGCGTGTAATTCAACTTGACAAATGGCTGTAAATGTACAATAACACTGAACGACTTTAAATAGACAGCTGATGTTGTGCAATCCGAGTCTTATTGCAAACAACAGCACTGGAGAAAATCTTTGTAAGTCGTGAGTTTTTCACAGCTATTCCAGTCTCGGGTCTGGAAAGGAGGGCAACGATTGATGAAGAAGCAGAAATTTTCTTATGATTGATGTCCCGATTTCTTTTTATTTATAATTTCAGGTGAAACCATTTCGTTACGGTTCCGATAGTTGCACACATGTGCTGAACGATCATCGAGATCAATTTGAACTGATACGCAATCATGGTTGGGATTTGATTCTGACAGATTCACTTTTTGCGGTTTGTGCGTATGGCTTGGCTCTATTGAGCCCAGCGCATCATATTGTAATGCATTCGACGGATGTTGAGAGTGGATATGGCATTTCAAGGGGATATTCAAGGTTTTGCATCAAATTTATACGAACACTGTTGTTGTTCTTGATCAATTCAGCGATGTTCTGTAACTTCGTATAAATCAGTAAAGCAGTCATGAATTGATCACGGAATTTTCATTTTATTATTCACTCAAAATTTGCAACAATTCATTGCGATTACACTCAATTGAGCATCACCTTTATCTGATATCGTCACTTATCTTGGATGTTTTTTTAAAAAATGAAACAGTCAGTAACATTCGCTAAATTCGGAAGCTATTATTCTCACAAATTTTTGGATCATCCCATATTCAACAATCTCAAGTGAGATTATGACAATCCTTCGTAAGTGTATGATAATAACTAGATCCGTGGCTTCGCTAAAGTATTCTCGGTTCATTTAAAGGAATTACTTGACGATGCCAACGTATTTCGCCGACTTCGACGATGCCTACTACGAGATGACACATTTTAAAGATCGCTTACGTAACGCTTACGAATGGCTGGGAATGTCTTCAGCGCTTAAGATTGCGTCAAATCGCTTCATGCAGAAAGCGCTTTCACCAATACTGCAAAATTTTGATATTTCCAATTACTATGCGGATTCTGCATACATTTTCTCGGATATGCCACTGAGTGTGTACACACCGATGGCGACCAATAATGAGGTAGGTGTGTGTGNACTGCGCAATTTTCGGTCGTTTCATTGGTTGTTATAGTGCGACGATGTTGATTAATGGCTATCATCAACTGCGATAATAATTGCTTCGTTTGCACTTAGAACGAACGACTCAACACCGAGAAGCTTTGGGCATAAATCATTCGATGGAACTCTCGTTTATCTACAGAATGCGTTCTTTTGCAGTTGTTCATGTATGGTGCATATTGCCAACCATATCGATCACTAACAAGGGAACTGGCCGAATTCGTCGAAGATCCCAGCTCGAGAGGCACCATTTTGATCGCTTTTGGAACAATTGTGAACTGGTCCGCGGCTCCACAACAAACGCAACAAGCAATTGCTGATGCGTTGAATGAACTGAGCGAGTATCGTATCATTTGGACGCATTCTGCATGCAAGCATCACTTGAAAAGACACATTAAACTTATGCAGTGGATGCCACAAAATGATTTGCTGAATCATAATCGAACGAAACTCTTTGTCACACATGGAGGCTTAAAAAGGTCATTGCTTATTGTTAACATCAGTATATCACTGCGATCATTTAAGCACTATCACATAATTAGATACAAACCAAAAAAAATGCTAGCCTGGCTCAGCTTCACAACATCAATGATATTGGTAAAATAGCACTCGGTTTCGAGTAAAACTTTCCTCCGCAGGTTCGACTCCCATTTGTGGTGGGAAGTTTCGTTCGAAACCGATTGATGTACCGCTATCGTGAACCAGTATCGTCAGCCATAACGCATTCACTGACACCAACTCTAATGTGTGCTGCAAAATAAGTGTTTCTGAGCAGCATTCATTGAAATCGTAATTACTAGTTGTTGTGTGGCAATGACGAATCAGATGAGATTTTGCCCGATATATCGAATATCGAGAATCCTCGTCCTCAAGGTGCTGTTTGCAAATGTAGCATACCGCTAACGAATCAATTTCCAGTACAAAAGAGGGAATCTGTGCCACAGTTCCAATGCTTTTCATACCGTTGTTTGCCGAGCAACTTCGTAACGCATGGCTAATTGAACGAAACGGTTGTGGTAAAACGATTAATAAGGTTGGAATTTTTTCCACTTTTCGTAGCGCTGTTCATAAATTTTGCAATTTTGCAAATCACTCAGTTGATCACAACTATTATCGTAATCATGATCGCACTACTGTTCCCTCGATTCTCAGCTCATCATTCAACAGATCATAATTCAATCATTATTATAATCATCCTCATCGTTTATGGATAACAATGCAGATATATGATGTGTCCACTTTCAGGTCAACCTTACTAAAGACTCTCTGGTTCATTCGATGCGTCAGCTAATCACTGAGCCACGATACAAGGAGAATATGCAAAGGCTACGAGCCGTCTACGATGATTCGCCTATGCCAGCGATCGATGAGGCTGCCTTCAAAATGAATCGACTACTGAAATTCGGTGGTCGAATGCCTCAGCTGTTCTATACTCGATCCATAAATTTATCTTATTTTACAGTGCTGAATATAGATTTGATCATTCTCATCCCTTTATCACTAATATTTGCACTGTGCATAAAGTAGATTTTGATTCGGTGCTTGCCAGTTTTTTTTGATTATTCAATGCAACATTTTTCATTCGAATTAATAGCAATTGCTATGAATTCACTGAATTGATTTGTGAGTTTTGCATTCAGTTTTTATATTTCATGTGAAGAAGGAGATTCGTCATCACTGCGGTGAAGTTCCAATAATAGGGAATTGCAGTTTTTTTCCTTTTTAAGATTTCTTTGAATGTTTCAGTTAGTAAATAAGAAACCTCAATGGATCGTTATCATTCACTTCGTGTAAAACTAGTACACCGACATTTAATGATCCTTTAGGTGATCATTCACTGTAGCGCATTTGATCAATTGAATGAATCTATCATATTTTTTACTTCATCATCATTATCGCACAAACATTCAGACTTACTTTGAATAGAGAATTCAACGAATAAATAAGTGGTGGTGGTTTGAAGTAATTGTAAGAAGAGACATTTGTAATTTGCGATGATTGGGAAGAATTTTTTTGAATAGTTCGGAGAAAAGCGAGTGAATTGCGAGAGAAAAATCGCAGAATTGCCATGGCAAACAGAAAATTCCATGGCAAGCAACTTCGGCCCAGGCCGAGCATGGCTATGCTCAAGCTTATAGTGGTTGCATTGGTCTTGTGTCGTCTTCTTTTTTGGTGGCTGCTGCCGACATGCGACGTTTCACACTGAGAGTTCTGGCCGGACATGGACAGTAGAGTGCATCGCTGCCACCTTGGCCAGACTCTCCAGGCTGAAATACTCACAAGGGATTAGTGCTGGATGATGTGAGAAACGCGAAATTATCGCATTCGCGAGAGTCGTTTGAAGGATATTGTCGGGAACGTATCTGTTTGATATTGGAAGCAATGAGAGAGATGTGCACAGAAATATAACCACTGCAATGAGATATAAAATGGGATAGGGCGTTTTCACGAATTTGTGCGAGAGAACATTGACGAGCAACGAAACGAGTTCCTATCGAAAGAGACTCTTGATCCAATTATTTTGGTGACGAGGTTAGGTTCGAAGCAATCAGAGGTTTTACTCACAGGTCCTGGCGGTCCTGGTGGTCCAGGTGGTCCTGGGCGACCGGCTGGTCCGGGTCCTCCTGGTGGTCCTGGTTGTGCGGGCATTCCTGGAGGGCCATTTGGTCCTGGATGTCCTGGTGGACCAGGTGGTCCTGGTGGTCCTTTGGGTCCCTTCTGGCCGATTCCCGATTGTCCATTCTGACCAGGTGGTCCTGGAGGTCCTGGTGGTCCGGATTGGCCTGAAATTATGAATAGCCTCAAAATCATCGGTATTATTGAATGAAAATGAATGGAGCCAATTCTAAAACGAAATCCTTAGCGATATAACCCACGAAAATCATGAAAGTGATCTGACCTGGTGGACCCATGT